TAATTTAAGGTTCCAATGTATCTAAGTTGGCTATGCCATTTACACATGTCAAATAATTTATTTTATTTGTCAGTTTAGACTGCAAAGTCGCTTTTTGATAGCTAGAGTGGTATTGTTTTTTGTAATTGTAGACGTGTTGGTCGTTATTTTCATATTATTATTGTATTGCTAAGTGAAAATGGAGAATTGTCCAAGAGAAGAGCGTATTGACATACTTTTAGGGCTTTTGGGACATTCTGTACATATATTTTTAAAATTTGCACCCGATAGGCGTCTGTGGATTCATCAAATAATACTTTGCAAAAACAAACGGGCTAGCCGCGAACGTCCGTGCCGTATAGCGTGAATAACCCTGTATAATAAGAAATGTATATTTCCTTACCTGCTAGCACTCATCAAACTGTTTTCCTTGTCTGGTACGGTCCTGTCGTTATCTAGCTTAAGGTCCGCGTATTTTATCCGGTCTAGAATGTGATTATCCCGGACCACAACTTGATCTAAACATAGATCCTCTGCCATGTTGATTTTCCTGTTGGCAGGTCTCTCTATGGAGTTACAGGTACCAGCCACTATCGAGTTGATGTTTTCCCCGTAGCTGTGTGACTTGCTTAACTGGTGGCTGTTTCCGGGCAATATGTTGTTGTAAACAGGCGACTGGTCCAAGCTGGGATGACTCTTGTAGTGGCTTGAAAAGTCTTCTGGAAGCCGCTGCAGTGCAGGCGCGATTGCCAGCGGATGCTCGCTGGACACCAAATGGGTCACGCTTCCTGCATTACTTTCTGCAATGGCAAAATAAGGACAACTTAGAATAACGAAATCGTTTAATTGTATGAAACCGAAATCTTGTTAGTTGAGAAGTTCGCAGCTCGATAGTGAGGTGTTTTCCAAATTGTGACATAAATCAAGCTTAAATCCGATGTAGATGTCAACCAATAGCAGGCCAACAATAAGCATGCGTGCGACAAGATATTGCATCTATATTAACTAAGCGTCTATACTGTCTAGTGGCGATAATGCGAGGAAACTGCCTCAAACTCATAAGCAAAAGGTTCAAGCACCATCAAATCAAAAACTTACCAACACCACAAGAACGACAAACTCATCGGCACTCCACCACATACATCTCCGCCAATGAAACGCAAGAAAATAAAAGAAAATTTAACCAAATATCCAAAACTATAGACAAACAAAAGCTAGATTTTATGACATCTGAAAATCATTTACAATGTTTTATATTATTTCGGGTCAGCCAAAACAAATCACCTGAGATGAGACAGTATACAGAAGTGGATAGAAAAACAACTGTTGTTTTAGCAATCGAAGCATGCATAGTGGATAGTGGCGTGGTATGTTGTCATATACCAGTAACAAATTGTGAAGGACCACTAAGAAAACGAACAAAATTGAAAGCTTTGAACACGGTTAAAGCAATATTCTTTGATCAGATTGGAATTTGCCAGTTTATGTCTAACTAAAGTCGGATTCACAATTCACACTGTGACCGCATATGTAGAAGCTCCACCTCAAATTTAAGTTCTTACTTCATAATATAATTATAGATTAGAACATAAATAAATGTGTAGTGTTTTAACAATTATTATTTTTCACTTCCTCACGTGCCATTTCTTTGCCTATTCAATAATATTTAGTATGTAACAAATATTTAAGCGATTCGAACAAGATAAACAAGATAATTGCATTTTTTGTGTGTTGCTCAATAACTACCAAACTTTAATCAAACGAGCTCTGCACGTACATCTGACTAAATTCTGCCTTTGGATACCTTTCGATTCGGACATGGGGCTTCCCATCGAATCTCACTGGCTTTACATTGCGGTATGTATCTATAATATCTTCCGATGTAACGTGCACGTTCTCGTAAACGCAACTGCTGCGAGGTCTTGGTTGCTGTTTGCCAGGTTTGTCTCTCACACGCCTTGTCTCCATCTCTTTATAACCGAATGTGGAACTGTTGTAGCGTTTCTCTTGCGGAGTATACGGTCGACTAAACTGGTCTTCATCCACATTAGGCGGAGGCGGCTGCCTGTGTGGTTTATGGTATACTACAATCTTCGAGTCGTAAGGGTTATAATACTGACTAAGCTCGTACTCGTAGTAATCTTCTAGACAAATGCCTTTCAACTGAGGCATACTGTTACTGTTCTTAATCATGTTGGTACCCTGCACCATTGTCGGTCGTTGATGCATGTTGTAAGGAGGCACCAATGGAGCTCGCGACGGTATGATTTTTGGGTTGGCACAATTTTTCGAGGGAATGATTTGCTGTGCGAGGTAAATATGGCGTCTCAAAGGACTGTACATACCTGTAGATTCTGTAGCCTGTCGGTAAATTCCCGATAGATCTGCTGTGTTAGTTGTTATGTGAACTGGTCCAGTCTGGAAAACAGCAAAGTTGAGGCTTGATTAACAGAAAGAAAGCAAAACGTAGGCACCTGTGCCTTTAATCCATAATTCCCCAACGGCATATTCGGCTCTAATGTGATAGGTTGACTTAGTTCAGACCTATAGCTGTTTGTGACGATTCCCCGTCTGAAACAGTACGCACTTTGCTGAATGGAAACAATGATTTCTAGTTTACTAACCTGTCAATGAGTGAAGGAGCAATTGGTCCACATAAAATATGAAAACAATTCAAGCAGACATTTCCTTGAGAGTAGGGATTGAAGCTGTCCTGGCCTCGCTTGCTCGTAAATGACCCTTTGATCTAAAAAGTAATATACTCGTACAACACTCCGATAACTGGTTGATCAAAGCGTTATTACATCTTCGTTGGTGGTTTGGTTGCTGGTGGTCAAGTATGTGTGAAACCCCGCTAAACCCAGTATGCTCCACACGCTGAAAAAACAAATCACCGCCACCACGGCGCTTGCAGGGGACTCTTTAACTGCTTCAAAAAATTTCCCATCTCTAGTAACTAAAACATGTTTTGGTTAACTGGTTCACAGTAATTTTGGTGATCAAGGTTGAGCTGAGATGATTCCATCAACACCATTCTGCACAGTTTATAAGTTTAAAGTCGAACTTTTTCCTCTTGGTATTACCAGCCCCATTTATTGGTTGATGTGTAGTAGTGTGTTCATTACGCAATTGATTAACCGCCTGTATTTGTTATGGTTGCAGGAAAATTAGAAATGATACATGTGATTGATATCTTTACTGCCAATTTTATCAAAGATATGAATCATTTGGGAACAAATGACAATACGGTAAAAACTTTTAGAGCTACTTACTTAAAATTAGATGGGCAACAGCACAGGCAAATATAAACACCGCTAGGAAAGCTAGGGACACTATAAACATGTAGAAAAATCGATAATTTCTTCTACCAACGCAATTTCCGACCTAAAAGTTAGCATTTAAAAGAATTAAGCTACTAAGTCCATACTGAATTTACCCATGGGCAATGGTGATCAAACCTATCTACACAGTTATCACAAATGCTGCAGTGTGAAGCCCTTGGCGGCCTGAACAGCTTGCAAGTAAAACAATACTTTAATTTGATTGTCTGTCCTTTCACTAGGACTTCTTTCGTTCTGGGAGGGGGTCTGTATGTGGGACTATTTGCTGAATTGGTTACTTCTGCAAACACAATATATACAGATGATAGAGTAGGCTGGTCCAATTCTAGACTCCAGTACCTATTTGCTTTTCAACATAGGCAGCTTCTTCAGAAGTAGCTCTTGGAATAATTCCGGGATCGGATAAGCTTGTTCTCAGCAAGGAAGACATTGTGAAAACAAATAAAAATACCCCAATTATTGGTATGGCTATGGTTACATTTTCCGCCAGGTATTTACAACTGTAGCAATAGAAGTATATAGTGAAAGTTGGAGTTCCGAACAGTGCATCAGACTTACTCAAAAATAAAAAAAACAGTTGAAGTTCCGGTGATCAAAAAAACCGTTAGCAGGAATACTCCCGCTTTTGGAGCCGTCATAAATCGACCTCCACAGTAAAACCTATTCCTTCCTTGAAATATTTCCCACTTCCTTGTCACCCTGTCTTGTGCCATGGTCATACTCGTACCTTCCAACAAAAATTATGATTAAGTAAATAGCGTTTCCAGTAAACTTTGAAAGTAATTTAGCTCAACAGACAATATTCTGCTCAGATTTATTTAGAATGCTGTTATTTAAGCGGCAATCTCAGATTTATTTAGAATGCCTCTTATTTAAGGGGGAAAGTGATACGAGAGAATAGTAGATATGGAGAAAATAGATACTATATTAGTTTGCCTTCCTACAACCATTTACGATTATCATATAAGCTTATTTTCCAAGGTACCACTTTTTAACCCTGACAGGTAGCATAACGACGGATTATGGAAATCCTAGAGTATTGTTCACCTCACTAAACGACCTCAAGGCTGTTAAATCTAATTTGTCTACTTTATAAATAAACTTACTTATTGTCGGTGAAGAACATAAACCAGTAAAATTAGGATGTTTTACCGTCATGTAAATTTAATCATAAATCCAAAATTAACAAGGGAAACGTAAAACCTACAAACTAAAACAGTTTCGCACTTTTAACTCATTGTTTTACATGGTGAACTCCGCGGTATGCGATCTGTTCCGGTCGCACTTCAACTTGAAAACTTTAGCACCCATTTTACTTCACAGCTATACTTAATTAGCAACTTAAATCTTGAGTAAATCGTCACGGATCTAATCAAAATAGATTTGTTGACCACTTACTCACTGACAACCATAGTATGTAGTCTGTGCTGACAGCTGACAACGAGCGAACAGAAAAACATTGAAATATTAGTTTGTCATTCAATTGAAGTTCGGGATATTGACAGCTTTCAACCACATATCACAGAGGTTATGTGAACCATAGAGCATCCCCCTGGGGAGCATTTGAGAATCGTATGCGCCCTCTCGCAGAAACGATCGAGAGAGCGGGATTTTTATGATTTAAATGAAACGTAAGCGAATTGGTCAGACAGAAAAAAACTTCTAGCACAATTATTTATTTTTTGGTTTGTTTGTATATGTACATATATTTATTAGCTTTAGTATTTCTATGTATATGTACATGCCTGCTATGACATATCATCAAAAAAGTTACTCAAGCGAGGGTTGTGAACTAGAGATGACACAAACGAGTATTTTTCAGGCACAGGTTCCATGTTTGACTGTTCCAAGCTCGTACCTGTTC